TTTTTTTTTTTTTGAGATGAAGTATGCAGAGGGAGAGGGAGCAAGAATCCTAAGCAAACATATTTGAGCCCAAAAAACGCTGAAACCCTTAATTTTTCTCCTATCTGAACCTCTCAAGTGGGATGTTAACTTTTCCAAATGTCTTCTCTAACTTCACAAGAGAAAACTGTCTCCCTATGAACAACAGATTAGAGATATTTTCAAGAGAGAATTATACTTCAGCAATTTCCACTCAATCACATTGGGTGCACAGAGGTAGATGATTCAGTGAGCTCCTTCCAACTCCCTATTACATGCACAGAAGTGCTGTGAAGCAACTATACTAATCATGCAAATTTCTCTGTGATTTCTGTAGAGCAGATTGAATAGCAAATTAATTTATGAGTCATAGTCTTAAGGATCATAAAAGTTAGACTTTATTACTGCTTGGAACAAATTCCAACAATCATCAGAGTTTTTATGAAAATATATGCATGCAAATACACACTTTCACACGTATAAACACGCACACATGTTGTTATGCATACATATACGGATACACATACATACACGACACACAGAATTCAGTATGTTAGAAATGTTCTCTGTAGAAAGTAAACAAAAGATGAAGTTTAAAAATCTAAACATATTAGAAAAAAGCATAATATATTTATAAATAAATTATAATGAAGATATGAAATGTATTAAAACTGTACAAAACACTTACATATTGAATACCTTAAATAATATTCATTGATACCATAAAAGAAACTGATTTTATTAATCAAAATGAGATAGTACATTCTAATGAGGTTGTTTGTTTTTTTGTTTAAGTAAACTCTATGCCCAAAATGGGGTTTGACCCATGTAGAATAAATTCTAAACTGAATAATATTGATGGAAGAAACAGGGATAATCTATCAAAGAGCCCCCCCCCCCCCCCCCCCCGCAACAAACACACACAAACGTACCCTGATGACATGGCTTAACAGTGAGGAGGTTATGTTCATAGGTAAACCAATACTATTTAAGCTGTTCAAAAGTAAAGAAGGACGCCTGAGTGACTGAGGAGGCTGAACATCAGACTCTTGATTTCGGCTCAAGTCATGATCTCAGAAGGTGAGATCGAATCCTGTGTCAGGCTCCACATTGGGCATAAAGCCTGATTGGGATTCTCTCTCTCCCTCTCAAAATAATAAACATTTAAATATATACATATTAAAAAATAATAAAACATATATAAGATGAACATGAGTATCTTGTACTGACAGAAAGTAAGAAAGTTAAAAAGTATATACATATCCGAGTATGCCAAATGGCCAAAGCTGGAACAATCTGAATAAGACAATAAATGTCAGTTTTGAATTATAATGCAAAATATTAGAAACTATATGTGAGGGGCACCTGAGTGGCTCAGTCGGTTGAGCGTCCGGCTGCAGCTCAGGTCATGATCTCACGGTTGTGAGTTCGAGCTCCACGTCAGGCTCTGTGCTGGAGCCTGGAGCCTGCTTGGGATTCTGTGTCTCTTTCTCTCTCTGCCCCTCCCCTGCTCACACTCTGTCTCTCTCAAAAATGAAGAAACATTAAAAAAAAAAATGTGAAATTATACTGATATAAATAATAGTACAATAACTTCCAAATGCTACTACTCTAGCTGCTCCAAGTGAAAGACTCCTCCTTAAAATTGCTTCATAAAATCGGAAATGTAGGAGATGACCCTAAATCCATTTCTTGTTAACAGAGCCAACTGGCATCAAGACTTAGAACAAACTACCTTCTAAAAAAATTTTTTTTTAATGTTTATTTTTGTGAGAGAGAGACAGAGTATGAGTGGGGAAGGGGCTGAGAGAGCGGGAGACACAGAATCTGAAGCAGGCTCCAGGCTCTGAGCTGTTAGCACAGAGCCCGATGTGGGGCTCGAAGCCACGAATGGTGAGATCATGACCTGAGCTGAAGTCAGAGGCTTAACTGACTGAGCCACGCAGGCACCCCAGAACAATCTACCTTCTAAAGACTCCCCACATACATTTAACTTGATGAAACGAAACGTCTGTTTGCTTCCTACCTGCACACTTTCTAAGTATCAGCTGACATGTCTTCTTGTCTGTTTTCCTTTGTCTTCTGCAATTCATTGCTCTAATGTTTACCTGAAAGTATTTTACATGCCCATCTTTCTCCAGAAGTATTTTCATATTTCAGTTGTTACTGAAACAGATGCTCTTCCTGTCTTTTTCACAACTCAATCTACAAGGAGACTGGCTTGTAATTGTGTGTAGGATTCTACTGGGAATGAGTATATCAATGACCAAACATGGTAAAAAACATACAATTTATATGTTTCTGGTGAGATGGGGTAGTTGTGTATTTCTTCCAGTACATGTACAGAAGAGTCTAGATACACAGGGGTTACAACTTAAGAGAATAAAGGGGCTGACAGTTGGGAAACAGATATTGATTAAGGCAGAGGTGTTCACAAGCCACCAAGTGGTCTTGCCAAAACAAGAAAAACAAATGTAAATGATGGAAGAGAGGGTATAAAAAGATACAAAGGTGCTTACCAGAACAAGGATGGTTTGAGTGGCTCTGGTCTCAGGGGAGAATCTAGATGACAGGTTGTTCCTATGAATGTGTTGGACCCTCTGCTTGTGTGTGTAAAGGATGAAAACCATGGAGCCACTGGCCCAGGACATGAGCACCAAACACAAAACATCAGGGATGGATGTGACAGTTGCACATAGGAAGTCTGTACCTTTGTCATGAAGTGTAGCTGAACAGTACTTAAAGTCTATAGTTGTGATGTTTTCATTACTCCATTTTTTAATCACATACATAGGTACTATGATATTTACCAACATGTGCAGAATCCAGCACAAAATGGTGGAGGGGCCAATGTACTTCAGGGCTTTTGCTTTCATCTCTGCCCACCTGGAACTCCTGGGACTGATGGTGATGGCCTGGAAGATACTCAAGAGGCAGGTAGTGCCAATGGACACACCCCTGGCCACTCTGTGCATATAGAAAACAACTTTGCATCCAAAGTCATTGAGAAAATATCTCAACCCAAAAGCTGCCATGGTCTCCGGGATTCCTCTCGAGAGAATGACCAAAGAGTTGGCTACAGTCAAGTGCCTGAAAATCACATCTGTGGATCTTGACCTACCTCCATTGAAGCAAAGGGACATATAATGATATAAGAGTGAGAAATTCCCCAGGATTCCAATGGTAATCTGGACCAGGAAGATTACTGCAATTTTCAAATCCACAGACATCATTCAGTTATTTTCCAGGGCTCAATATTCACTTTCGCAAAGAAGAGGATTCTGTGTGGAGACACTGGGAATGGGCTACAATTTTCAAGAAAAATTATATCCCAAAATCTCTACTTACTCTTACTTTTCCCTGATAACTTATTTCTAATATATATTCTTCTTTTGTTAAGAGATTTTTCCAAGTTTGATGTATTTCCTTATACAGCACTTGCAATGTATGGGTCTCTGTTATTAACGCTTTATTTATAACATTTAATATTTACAACTCTCCAAGTTAGTACCTAACATTATCTTCCTTTTACAGATGAGGAGAATTTATAGTGTTTTTGTTGTTGTTGTTAACTCCCAACGTGGGGCTCAAACTCACGACCCAGAGATCAAGAGTTGGTCATAAGCTCTACTGACTGAGCCAGCCAGGTGCCCCCAGATAAGGAGAATTTAGCTGAAAAGAGGTTAAGTGACTCAACTAAATGTTAGTAGTAGAGCCATGGTTTGAACCTGAGTAGCCGGGTTGCAGTGACATTGGCCGTTGGCATCATACTACTTTCTCAGATCTTGTATTCTTTAAATAATCCAAATATACTTACACATTGTCATATTTGAAACTTGCTGTATTTTACATTTAATTGTGCTAATTAATTATTTTTTAGTATTTAGGCTATTGACTAGCACCACTAGCAAGACCATCGAAGGTCTTACAATGCAGATGCACTAAATAATTCTCCAGTATCAAACTGACTGTAGAATATAGGTCAGTGGCGCCTGGGTGGTTCAGTCACTTAAGGGTCCAACTTTGGCTCAGGTCATGATCCTGAAGTTCCTGAGTTCGAGCCCCGCATCGGGCTCTGTGCTGACAGCTCGGAGCCTGAAGCCTGCTTCAGATTCTGTGTCTCCCTCTCTCTCTGCTCCTCTTCCACTTGTGCTCTGTTCCCTCCCCCACCCCCCAAATAAATAAACATTAAAAAACAATTTAGCTAAAAAAAAAAATTAGAATATGGGTTAATATGGGGATAGCAAAGTAATGAATCATATCATTTATTTTTTCCAGTGAGATCTACCATATAAATTATTGCATACTATGGGTTTTTTTTTTTCTCCTAAGCAGTTGAATTTGAAATTTAAGTAAGTACTGAAATATGTTTAGGATAAAAACTCAATTAGTCTTTATTTCATGTAAAAATATAAAACATATAAAAATATAAAACAAGTCCTATGCAAGATGGAATTTGAGACATGAAATCTTATGCACTGAAAAAATTCAAATAGGAGAACACAGGGGTGAGTCTGAAAATGACACATTAGAGTATTACAAGCTAGAAAAAATATCAGAAGGCACATTTGAGATTGAAAAATGCCAAGTCCTTAGTTTACTCTGCCATCTAAACCCTCAAGTTAACTTTTCCTTGAAGGCTGCTTCACTAACTTCATGGAGGAAAACTGTCCCACCTAGATCAACAGACTATGGGTATTTTCAAAAGAGAGATAATTAACACCTCCATTAAACACACCAAACCTAAGTAACAGAAAAATCACACGCCAGCAAGTGTCACTTGACCACACTGTTCGTACAGGGAGGAATGGTTCAATGAGCTCCATCAAACTCATTATCACATCCACACAACTCTTACTGAAATAACAATGCTAATCCTGGAAATCACTCCATGATTTCTATAGAGCAGATTAACTTCTGAATTATAGTCTTAAGGATCATAAAAACCAGAATCCACTAATGCTCAGAATGAAGCCCAACCATCATCATCAGTGAAGATCACAGTAAGATAAACATTAGGAACAACTGGAGATTGATATAGGGTCTCAGACCTCTGGTTCCTCTCCCCAAGTTCAGCCTGTGCCTCAGAAATTATTATTTCTTCCTGTATGGGACTGTTTCTGTGTCACTTTCTACCCTCAGAAGAATCCCTTCCCCAGACAGGAGCATTTCCCCGGACTGTGATATGCCTCATCTCCAAACATAATCTGTGTCTCAGGCTGAAACAGAAAAATACTCACGTATCTCTTTCCTGCTGCTGGGACAGTGAGCTCAGTGTGACAGTCATGACACCCTTTGCTCATGTGGGAGGGAGGCAGCCAGACCCTATGATAAGAGTCTGTGATTCTGTGATCTCAACTCTCCACAGAACTACAATTATCACTTCGCGGGCAGTTCCAATGACGCTGTACAATGTGGCAGCTGAAATTAATCTTAAAAAAAAAAAAAAAAAATCCTTCCAGTTCCCAATTCCCAGAAACAATTAGAGTTTCTAGTTAGCCTCTCCAAAGAGACAGACCGAATGTTTTGGAGGAGTGTTTTCCTTTTCCATAATAGATGGGGATAGACAGAGTCTCACTTGGTAGAAATAGAAAAACATTGAGATCTGGCCCAGGAGAGAACAGCAGTGAAACACAAGTATTTAATCAGACCCTGCACTTCCTGGAGAATGTCACCGTCCTTAAAATATAATTGTCTGTTTACGCTCAGGCTCCTAAGCTGAAAAATAAGGCACGTTCTGAGCAGGGACAAGTAAGGATACAAAAGGCCCAGGGAGGATTTTTCAAGAAGAGCGAAAGGAAGGCTGTGATGCAACAAACATGTATCACAAATCATTAGATATGCTTTGTACAACTCGGTGCAGTTAACTAGAAAGTCCAGTTGACGTGGACATTTCTAGGAATGTGTACTTCATGGCACTGACCCCAGAAGTACAAATTCTGAAGTGAACCTTGTGCATGGGCCAGTGGGGGGGGGG